TCGAGTACCGATGCTATCTGTACAGGAGCTCATGCAGGCCACGGGTAGGTCAATCCGAAGCCCCTGATTCCTGATGTCTAGGGCTTTCGGGATGCTTCCGTGCCTACCACCTCACTAAGTCTACCACGCGCAAGCCCAGCCATGTCCGCATGTGAAAGACATGCAAGCAGGTGCAGGCGTAGGCAGGCAACGGCTTCATACGATGGCTTGCAACCCGTCATCATTTGAGCCGGGCCCTGCAAGCCCTATGATAACGTCTAAGCCCCTATAAACCCTATATTACCGTCTAAGTCCCTATAAACCCTATATTACCGTCTAAGTCCCTATAAACCCTATACTATTGTTTTGACTATGTGTATTCTTAGTCTAGGACATTTTGAGGTGGGTAGTTACCGTTATAGGAGCCTTATAGATGGTCTACATACCTCATGGAAGCCTTATAGAAGCCATATACCCTAAACTCCCCACCTGTAGTTTCCTTTAACTTAGTATTCGTAGGGCTTATTGTTTAGGGTTTAGGGTTGAGGGCGTGCCCCTAAACCCTAAACCCTAATCCTATTCCCCTAAACCCCAATCGGTAATAGGGGGTCTGTTCTTGGGTCCAACTTCTCCAGTGGCGACTTAAGAAGCAGGGATTTAGGGTTTATGATATCCTTCGCTCCTAGTGTTCGGACGGCGAAGATATGTCAATCAGCTAAAGATAAAGAGCAGAAACTCAGAAACCTCTTAGTTGAGGCGGTTTAGGGTTTAGGGTTTCGGTGTCACATAATGGATCCACTGGCAATGGCTCCATTGAGGGGTGTCCGAGGCTTTGAGAAGCCCTAATCTTGATGGCTCTCATGATCCTCATCCTAAACTCTAAACCCACAACCCTAAAACCCGAAACCCAAAAACCCTAGACTTAGACGTTGGGCCCTAAGCCTTAAACCCTAAACACTAAACCCCTACACCCTAAGCCCCAAAAACCCTAAACCTGAAATCCAAGAATCCTAATTAACCCAGAGGCTCCATATATAGTACCAGTATGGAATTAGGCCCCTAAAACCTTAATAAGGATGGTCTGTTGGGACCTAGTTCCATAATGGTACTATATATGTGGAGCCTCTGGGTAATTCGTCTTTCTGCGCCTTAAACCCTAAACCCTAAATCCCCACACCCAAAACCCCAAAAACCCTAAACCTGAAATCCAAGAATCCTAAATAATTCGTCTTTCTGCGACTTCAGAGTTCCTACTTTGGAGCCGCCCCTGCGGAGCCTCCCGCCCCGTCCTGCTTGACTGCTCAGGAGGTCTCCAAGGGAACCGAGCAAGCAGGAAGAATCTTGGGGCACGTAATGTACGCGTATATATGTGTATGTATTTATATACATACCTATATGTAGACATATGTAATTATGTAAGTCAGCATCTGTAGATATATCTGTATGTGTGTATATATATATATATCATATATGCATGTATATGGATAGAAACGAATAGAGTCTTGGGGGATATCAACCAAAGTATACTACGAGTACAACAGCAACATAGAACAACAACAAGTACTACTACTGCTACTGCTACTTCTACTTCTACTTCTAGTTCTACTACTTAAACTACTACTACTACTACTACTACTACTACTACTACTACTACTAGGACGGAATATTCTACCAATGACTCAAACCGTAGAAGTCCTGTGGGTCTGACTGAGCTGAGCGCAAGTGGGTTCAGGGCCACCGTAGGTGGATTGGATAATAACCTTATAGTACTGCCCCAAAAAAGCACATAAGCAAAAACTAGGATAGGGATATCCTATATAAACCCCCTTTATCATGAAGCCCAAAAAGGTAGGGATATCCCTCTAAAATGCTTATGCTTATGTCCTTTTGGGGTTCCGAATATAGTAGCCCTTACAGTAACCCCTCATGGCGTCCTTGCAGGAAGCCTTTTCACGAATCAGAACTACCCAAAACCCACTCTAGCCTCAAAGAGATCCTTAACAACTTATAGCAACTCCTTAAAGGGATCCTCAACAACTTATAGCAACTCCTTAAAGGGGGATCCTCAACAACTTATAGCAACTCCTTAAAGGGGGGTCCTTAACAACTTATAGCAACTCCTTAAAGGGATCCTCAACAACTTATAGCAACTCCTTAAAGGGGGGTCCTTAACAACTTATAGCAACTCCTTAAAGGGGGGTCCTTAACAACTTATAGCAACTCCTTAAAGGGGGGTCCTTACAAGAAGCCTTGAAAGGAATCCTTAACCCGGGAGTCGGGATTTTGGAGGCCTCCAAAGCACCCCCGAGGAGTGCTTCCCATGAATCCAAGCTTTGCCTCCGCAAGCCTTTCACTTTAAGGGATTTAGGGTTTGGGGTTGAGCGATTAGGTTTTAGAGTTTAGGGCTTTTGGGGCTTGGGGTTTTAGGTGTTTAGGTATTGGAGCCATACGGGCTTAGGGCTTCGGGTGTAGGGTTTAGGCGAGGCTGGCAGAAGCTCTGGAATCACCTGCACTCGTGCACTTTGCGCTTGCAAGATGCATCTGCGATGCACCTGCAAATGCATCGTGGTCAAATTCTTAAAGCCTAAACTGATCAGGAAGCCTACGGCGAGAACCATATGCTACCCTAACCCCTAAACCCTCAACCTCTGACCTCTAAACCCCTAAACCCGAAACCCTGTAAACCGTTGGTCCATCTCAGAGACGACCTTTGAGGTTCCTGGGCTGCGATGCCTGCCAGAAGAGCACGCGTCTTGTTCTGACTGACGGCTTAGGGTTCAGGCATTGGGGTTTAGGGTTTGGGGTTTAGGGTTTAGGGAGGGTTCTGCGGTAAGAGCTTCTACACTGGATGGAGACTTCGAAAACGAACCGACAGGCTAACTGGCCATACTTACAATACTGACGGATAAGGTACCACAGAGATACAACTGGAATACTTTGCTTTGCGCAATGATTCTGGTAATAAATATTCGATCTCTGGCGAGAGCCAGGATAGTTCAATTGGGAGATAGAGGGAAGGGCAAGGGGAACACGAGAAACTGCCGCGACGAAAACCACTTCTGTTCGGCGTTTCAACTCACTAAACCCTATAAACCCTAAACCCTAAACCCTAAAACCCTAAACCCTGAACCCTAAACCCTAAACCCTAAACCCTATAAACCCTAAACCCTACGACCCTAAGCCCGGCATCATGAAGTTGAAACCTTCTCCACACTTTATACCAAGAATCCTTCTGCCTCCAATGTCCAAAACGGCTCAGGGTTTAGGGTTAAACCCTAAACCCTAAACCCTAAACCCTAAATCCA